CGAGAATGAAAATAAGAACGGAAAAAAAAAAAAAAAAAAAACCAAAAAACAACGCGAGATATAATGAAAAATATTATAAATACTAATTTGCGTATACGTAAAAGCAAAAAAATAAATATTTAAAGTCTTCTTAAATAAAGGCCTCCTCCCAAGCATTTGTAATCGCTTTCATAAATATATAAATTGTTCGGCAGCAGCAAACTGTCTATATTAATAATCTCGCTGCGTAAACGTAAAATGATGCAAATTATTGTTATCAATATAGTCAATACATACACTTTAATCATTTGTTTAAGAGCAAGCTTTCTCTCCCTGGCTATGAACCAGTCCATGAGGAATGCTGCCATTCTCGGAGCTGTTTTGTAAAGTTTAAAGAAACTATGGAAATTGCCTAACCACCAAGATGAACGGACTTTTAACGCGTGACTTATGCACTCGTCCGCTTTGTCTTTCTCCGTAAGCGCTGCGAGTATTGTCGTCAAATCTGAAAATAAAGTAACCAATTGCCCTAATTAATTAATGCTTTATTGTTTGTTTTATTATGTTTGGTTTTTAAGACTCTGACAATATCAGCCACAACGCGTTCGGTATTATTTAATAACCGTGACATGATGAAGTGATTGAAGCATTAAGCAAGGGCAGCGATAAGCGCGCGAACTTGCACATTTCAAACATCGAGCATGAGTATGATTTTAAAAATTGAACGTTGCTAATAAGTGTCCTTGTAAAGGTCTTCGATCGTGGCTGAGGCTCATTGTCCGTTGTTTTACAGAGGTTAAAGTACCATCGCCAACCTACCTAATGTATTCTTCGTGAAGATGTAATACAGTATACGATAAGCGACAAACTCGCAGCGATTATCACCGCCGACCTCCGAGTATAGCATTCTCAGTTGGGTTTGACACTGGTTAAACTCCTCGTGATCGCCGCGCTCGAGTGCGACGCGAGCGTGTGTCTCGTATACGTGAACTGTGAACGAGTCCCTAATACCCTGCACCGTAAGATCCTGTCGTATCGACTTTAACTGATCACACGCGTAACGGTAATCCTGCTCGGTCACCCAACGCTTTTTCACGTGGACCAACGACTTTTGAAGTACACTGACTGGCCGCACCGCTGACGCTGCTGGAGCCTGAAATTTCATTGGTTGATAAGATTTTGAATGATTACGGGCCGTTGGCCTTGTAGCCTTGAGCGCTCGCTCGGTCCACTTCTTATCGGCGAACAATAATTATCTCTTAATCTATAATTGGCTAAAGTAGGTCTCGCGCGACCAGCGTACTACTGCTGTACCACCTGTCGCCGTCCTACCACTAATAAAGAATTTTTCTAATTGTAATTGTTTTGGACCGATGAATAATAGCGTGCGATTAAAGGCTGACCAACAGCGAAATGCGATAAATGAGATTCAAGCTCGTTGGCTAGAATTATCGGACCATCATAGGGACCATGATGGAGGATAAAGTGTAACTAACCGAGGTTAGCCGGAGGTAGGGTTTCTCGAGATCCCGACAAGTGCCAACGATATGCAGTCCTGTAAAATCAAATTCGGCGGTGGGGTCGTCCTTGATCATGCCACTGATCTGGCCGCTCTTTGTGAAAGCGTCGCTGAATCTCGCGGCCCTCTGCTGGAGCTTCTCCTTGGTACCGAACTCCTCGACGTTGCCACCGGCGAGACCGAACTCCGAGTAAAAGTGGCAGTTGGCCTTGTTGTTGATCTTGTTCTTGTTCTTATTTTTCTTGTTCTGCTTGTTGTTTGGCTGCGCAGAGCCGCCGCTGCCACCGCTGTTATTGTTGTTGCCACCTCGGCCGGGCTTTTTGTTCTTCTGGCCGTGGGCGGGGGTTGCGCTCACCGGGACGAGGTGTTTGTAGTCCCGCTCGCTCGACGAGGAGGAGGAGGTGCTGCGCTTGTACTTCCTGGGCAAGGGCGAATGCGAGCGCGACCTCGACCTGCTCTTCGACTTTGAGCGCCTGCTGTGGGCGATGGAGGTGGGGCTGCTGCTAGAGAGGGGCGAGCCCGTGGAGAGCCGGGCGCCGAGCCTCGCCCCGAGAGTCATCGACAGACCGGATTTGCGTTGCCCGGTAGGCGTCACCGTCACCGTCACCGACTGCGGCTTCAACGTCATTGTCATGCGCTCGCTGTGGATACTCGGCAGGGGCTCGCGGTCCCAATCCTTAAGCCAGAGCGAGCCGTCGTTGGCCGAGCGCGTTATCTTACCCTTGAGGATGATCTCCACCTGGTCCTTGTCCACGGCAGTCTTGCATTTCTCGTAGCAGCGGTTCACGTAATTCTTGAGGCTGTCGGGCCAGTCGCCGACGGGGTTCGCGCTGGAGGAGGAATTGGACGACGAGGACGAGGAGGAGGAGGAGGAGGAGGAGGAGGAGGAGGAGGAGGACGAGGAGGAGGACGAGGAGGACGTGGAGGAGCCCTGGACCTTCGCGAAACTGGGATTCATGCTCGGGGTACTAGATTTTTTCATTATCGCGGATATGTTGGACGCCGACGCGACTGACACCGACGCCTTCAACGAGGCTTGAGAGAGCAGTGGCGGTGGTTGAAACGTATTTACGGGTGGGAGTTTTGGTAGTGGGGGCGGCGGCTGTTCCGGGGGCACGCTGATCTCGTCGATGGGCGGGGGAGTCGGGGGCTTCTCAACCTGCATGGGTGGCGGTAACGGGGGCAGCTCGAGCTTACCGGTCGAGCCCGAGGTAAAGACATTGGGCGGGGGCACCGAGGTATTGGGCGGCGGCGCCTGAAAGTTGCACTGGGCCGCGAGATTCTTATTTCTCTTGCGCTTCTTTTTGGCAGCGCCACTGTTGCCAGACGGCACACTGAAGCCGAGGCCCGTCTTCTTGTGGGGTAGATTAAAGCGGATTCCACTGAAATCTAAAAAATGTACTTGTGTAATTGAGTACTCGGCAACAATCGATTACGCCTTAACGTTAACATCCTACTCGAATCAGCAATTCTATGACTTATTGTTTTTAAAGTTTAATGCAATGTACTTGGTAACTTTTGAATATTATTTTCGGATTGCCGAAGCCGAAGCTTTGTTAGACCATCAACAAGATTTTATTTCAAACGCTTTGCAGAACAAAGTTTTACAGGCTATTGTAAAATTGTCCGTAACGAACGGCGAGCTTAATCTACATTGCCGCACAGAGCATTAATTGTTCACTGTAATGAGAAATCCACTAATCGTGGCAGCAGAGCATGTGTAATAAATGAATTTCACAATGAGAAATCAAATTTCACAGCCGCTTGAAGCAAATAAGCCATTTTCTTACTGCAACAATTATCAGATCTAAATAATCATTAAATGTTTAAAATCAATTAATCTGGCTTTACACGAGTCACTAAACTTTACAAATATATTAATAACTCTAAAGTATTTCACTTTACTCGCTAATGATAAATTTAAGCAACAATGATCACTGACTACAATTTATTCAATAGCATATCTACCGATGTTACTGAACCTCGATAACAATATTAAATATAAGTTTACTTAAATACTTTGTTTGCGTCTGTAAATGATGAGTAAGGAACGTAGACTTACGAGGAGATTCTGATTGTTGAACACCGTTCCAGCCACCATAGGGATAAGAATTGTAAGCATACTGCTGAGCATGCTGAGATTGCTGAGTATGCATTGACTGTTGCGTGTGCTGAGACTGTTGAGAGTGAGGAGACTGCTGAGGTTTGTGCAGTTGGTTTTGCATCGGAGAGGGTGGAGGTGGGGGTCCTGGAGGAAGAGGTGGAAGGTCAGAATCATCGTCAAAGGTCATTGGAGTGGGTGGAATCGGAGGTTGTTCCGTCTGCTGCTTCCCTTGGTTATTTTGCTGCTGCTGTTGCTTTTGTTGCTGCTGTTGCTGCTGTTGTTGTTGCTGCTGCTGCTGCTGTTGAGGCTGCTGCGATTGACTCTGCATCTGCTGCTGTACCATTTGCTGCGGTCCTTGTGGCGGAATGTGTCCATGTCCGTATTGTCCATAACCCATCATGCCATAATGCTGGTAATACATCTGATTTTGATGCGCATAGTTTTGTCCGTACATTTGCCTGTGATAAACCAAATTCCTTACTTTATTAGGTTTGGTTATATTTATTAGTTTTTACTAAAAATATATAGTGGAATATGCAGTTGCGAAATAGTTCTACAAAATACAAGTGTATTTTGCTAAAATTCTTAAACTTTTTGAAGGAGGATCTACATTCAACGACTAATACATTTTTTCATTGAGAAAAAAACTATGATTTGCTCTAAGAATTCTTATGAGCATTGGAAAAAAGTATTGAGTTAACTGTGTGTACTTATTCTATATTGTATAATGTATTCTTATTGTATAATAAATAAATAAATAAATAAATGAGAGAAGAAAATTTAAAAAAAAAGACAAAAATTAGTATTAAAAGTAGTTACTATTTAGTTATTCTACTTTAAATGCGTAATGCATTTATTTATATATATTTTTGGGTAGGTGTTTAAAAGACAAATACGCGTCAGTGCGCGCGCACCTATATTACTCATACGCAGCATATGAACAAATCCAACTGACATAGATAATATGCCTATGTATGCATATGCATGTATATTAGCATGCATGTATACACATTCATTGTGTGTGCGTGCGTGCGCGCGCGTGTGGGTGTGCGTGTGCGTGTGCGTGCGCGTGCGCGTGCACCTGTCATGCATATGCAATGAACACGCGAATGCTACACGCAATACTCTTACGCATCTGCAATTGTAGATTATCATTGACCGTGCTTGCGTACATAAACAATGGAATTATTTAATACAAAGAACCAAAGGAATATGATTGTCTTTAGTTGCTTTAAAAGGTTGCTGGATTTTCGTCGTCAGTATTATTTAAGAAAGTCTCCATTTACTATTTAAAAGAATAAAGGTTAACTTATATTCATATTACATGCAAAGTAACATTTGCGTGTAAAATATATGCCTCGAAGTAATAATTAACCAACTTTATAAGATTTCAAGCCTCGGCGTCGTTTGGCTTTCCCTCTCACCCCTCAAGCTGATTCCGTTTTCTGTCTCCACTAATCGCGCACCTTTATGCATTGCATTAATAAGAAAGAGAGAGAGAGAGAGAGAGAGAGAGAGAGAGAGAGAGAGAGAGAGTAACTGAGGAGGAGCGAGAGCGAAAAGAGAAGAAAGTCCTCGTAAGAGATACGAAGACACGAAGGAGACGGAACAAAAAGTTTGCGCGGCCATAATCACGAGCGAGACGACGCCACGGCGTTTCTTCTCGGGATCGGCCATTGGCAGACAGAGAAAACAGAGAATTCTAATAATATAGTATAATCCGCTTACCCAGCGTAATGCGAGTAAAGATGCATGTTGTTCTGCGGATATTGCCACGCCATGTTCGCCATCGATGCCGTCCCGAGCTGTTGCTGATGCTGGTGCTGAAACTGCTGTTGCTTTTGTTGCGTCGTTGCCAATGCTTCGCTTTCTGACATACCTAAAAGCCAAATATAGAGCCTTCCGCGGGGATGGCGTCCGTCTCCGTCTCCCTCTCTCGCTCGCTCCCTCGCTCGTTCTCTCTCTCTCCGGTTTGCTCGTTCGCTCGTTCACGCTCTCTGCTCTCCTCACCGCACACGGCTCCTCTTCTTCTATTCACTCCCTCTCTCTCTCTCTCTCTCTCCCTCACTATTCCAAACACGCATATACACGCGCGCGCGCAACTTAGCTGCGCTCGCTCTCGTGCGTACGTACGTGTTGGATCCGCGCTTGCTCGTATGATGTGGTATACGCGCGCTTATGTATGTATATGTGTATATATCTATATATATATGTATATATATAGATATATATAGATATATATAGATATGGATATATATATGCGCGCGCTCGCGCGCGCGCGCATACGATCGTGTACGGGCGAGTGCGCGTGTGCGCAGGCTCGCGTGAGTCGTGACTCTTGCGCCGCTGTTGCCGACTACGTACGGTTGCTCTTCCAAATGACCTTAAACTAGACGCGTTATGCGTTTTCTTCCTTCAAAAATTCGCGTTAAAAAAAGAAACGTGATGGAAGCGGTGGCGTATAGACACGGAGGGTGGGAGGAGGGCGGATATAAACGAAAGCAAATAAGATAAAAAAAACGAAGTGTGGAAAAAGTGATGTCGCCGCGGAGCTATTGACGTCGTGTGACAGGCGCGAGGCTGCGTACAATGCAGAGCGGAAAGCCAGAAATAAACAAAACGCAACGTTTCTTCGACGTAAAAGAAAGACACGGGGCGTCAGGCCTGACAACCCTTGACTACTGCGGACAAAAGGAACCGCGAGCGGACGATTGCACTTCCGCTCTCACACTGACAACTCGATACCTCGTCCGCGGTCACCGTACCCAGTGCACTGGAGCGTGCAACCGAGATGAGCAGAGACGCTGCCGGGCGAACGATGCAGCACGCGAGATCCGGGACGGGAGGTCGGGGCATGCGCACGAGGGCTCACCTCCTCCTCCTCCTCGTTCTCCTTCCCCTTCGCTAGCGAGACCGACCTCATTGGGCATAGCACAATAAGCTTTCTTATCTCGGTCCGCTATGCTGTCGCGCGGATATCGTCGTCGTGGCTTTTCGTAGCCTAGAAAGCAGCTAACCGAGCATTAAGGAAGATACGTGCATCCACCGAGTCAATGAACCAATTACCCCGAGCCTCGGCCCATCCCTCCTCCTCAACCCCTCGTTCATATCACTCTCTCTCTCTCTCTCTCTCTCTCTCTCTCTCTCTATGGTCTCTGTAAGCATCGCAATTCTTGGCCATAATGATAGAGCAAGGAAGGCATCGTCTCGACGGAGTCCCTCCAACACCATCTGCTCCGGTCATCAATCACCGTCGATGACGTAATACGCATCAGCACAGAGAATTCGTAGTAACGTTATATACGACGACTCGAGGTCACGCATTTACAATGTATCGGTCGAGCGACTCCTCTATCGATAATAAAGATGACGTTTCGTGTGCCGTTCGGCGCGCCACCTAAAATTATTCTCCGATCTCAATTTTCTTTGCTTGCTGCTGCTGCTGGCCTGCGACAAGCGAGTCTCGCTATATGCAAATCCATTATCGTTACTTTACGTTCCTCTGTGCGCTTCTCTAGCGCATGAGCAATTCGTTGTTTGTAGCGACAGAAATCTTGGGCAGTTAGTTAGCTCGAGAAAAGCTGAGTTGCAAAAATTTGCAAACTTTATGAAGTGGGGTTGGAGGATCGATTGCCGATGCAATGAGGGAGGGACAAGAGAGCCTTTCAACGGCTTCCGATAAAGCTTATTTAGTCGATAGTCCAGTCGACTACGTGTCCTACCTATTTATCAAATAAGAAAAAATATTGTTTTAACAAATATGTTATGTTGTATCGAGGAGTGTAGAGTGTAGATTGAATGTAGAGGCGTGCGTTTATAATTAAGCTCTATATAAATGGAGCGTTGCCTTATATTATAATTATTACGATTCCTTAAATAAATGCCCCTTTTATATTTATTTTATAGCTCATACAAAGCCATGCGTAGTTATCTTCGGATGCTATCTTGAGCTTCCCCGACTTGTTTGTAGTCACAACTTCTTATTAACATGATACTAGTCAACATTATTGTAAAAATATAGTTGCATTGATTTACAAGTAATTTGGAAGTTACCGAAATGAAAATGAACAAATCGTGAGATTTTACAAAATCAATAATATTCCATACTATTGTCCAACTATTACATTGAATAAGTGTTGGTCGTAATGTTTAGCAAACATTTTCAATAAGAAGTTGTGTAGTAAGAAGGTCGCCCTATCGTCAAAAACGAGTCAACTAAATTTAAATGCTTTTTTTTTTTTTTTTTTTACCGTAATCATCAGAATTATTTTATCATTGTTGGTAAATATAATTTCTTTACTGGTTATCCTTAGTTTTTTTTTATTCGTAATCGAATTCATTTCCTGGTTAGTTATTTATTTATTATTCTTTTGCAAACCGATATACAAGTGAATTCTTATAAATTGAATAGGAATCATTCATCGTCTTGTTATCTTATTAAAGATTAGAATTTTTATACAATAAAACAAAAAATATTATTACTAATATTTTATGCATATATTTATAATATTACTTTTTTTTTTTTTTTTTTTTTTTTTTTTTTTTTTTTTTTTTTTTTTTTTTTTTTTTTTTTTTTTTTTTTTATAAGAAAGTGTTTGTATAAAAACGAATTACGTACATAATTATACATTTAAATTCGATATAAAGTATTGAACCATAGCTTCATAAAATTCAACTAATGCGAGATAGACAAAAAAAAATTTCAAGATCGGAAGTTTTGCTCGCTGATCTAATCAGTATCAGGTAGTTTAAATTTATTCAATTTTTTTTTTTCTCTTTTTTGCCCGAACATTCAAATACAAAAATTATATGGTCAAGTGACGTCGACTATTTTTCCTGGTTAATAATAAATCACAAATGCCTGCGAGCAGATGGAGCCGTTAATAATAGATACAACGTAAATATCTTGGATTATCTTTGTAATATTGTTCAATGTCAATAATCGAATAATTTAAGGAAGTGAGTCGAGTAACTAATTATAAACAGCTCTACTTTGAGAGAAGATTGAGATGAAATTGGTTATTTTATAAATTTGTAAGAAACGTTCTTCCAATATTCATAAAGTGACATTAAAAAATGCCATTTATTCAAAATTTAAGTAATTATAAAGAAAATTCACTATTTAGATGTCAAGCAAATGATACTTAACGTACACATTCCAATATATAAATCAATATCAAACGAATTTAACTAATTAAAAAATGTTAATTTCAAAATTGTTTATCAGCATAAAAATATCGAACAAATAAATCATCATAATTACGCAATAGCCAACTTAAAACTGGCAAAAATTGACTGATAAAATGACTCACTACACTATTGTCAAATATACTGTTTGACGATATAGCATACTCTTGAAAATAGGAAAATACTTGAAAATTTTTTTGAAAACAAAAGATAATACTTTCTTTTAATCGCTTGAAATTTTCATAACATTCCTCTAAATATGTCTTTTTTAATTTATTTTTCTAACATTCGTCAAATTTTGAATTACCGTGAGTAATGAAAGCCTTAACTAGCATTTAAAATATATTAAAGTAAAAAAGTGTTTTATTAAAATAAATAATGACTTTTTAAAAATTCCACGATGAACGTTATGTACTCTATGGAGAACGAGATTTAATCAAGTGGTCAAAATAGTGATAATCTAAAAAAATGTTTAAATTTACGTATATTTCTTGTATTGGATATGCCAATGCAAGAAAATATATTTCTTAAGTAAACTTATGCATAAATTTCATAACCTGCCGCCGACACTATTTAATTTCATACGACATGCGTAATTAAATTATACAAAATAATAGATGCAAAATACTTCTTTATCTAATAACATTTATGCTAAGATTGACCTTCATTATAACAAGTAAACAATTCAATGAGTGCTCCGTTTCAAGTTTAATGCTCAGCTTAATAATAATTAAAGAATTGATTTCATGATCGCGACAAATCATTAAAATTCATTAGCTCAATATAATACCGCCTTCTCCATATTATAAAAACAGACGTAGTCATTCGTATCATTTAAAACGATTTTTTGTTCAATATATTCGCTAATTAACCGCAAGATTTACGTATGTAGATGATATTGTTAATACTATATGTTAAAAATGACAAGGGTACAATAAGAATATTCAAGCGATATTTTCATTCTGCAACGTGATACATAAATTATCAATTTCCCAAAAAAAAAAAAAAAAAAAAAAAAACATTTTTCGAATTCACAACAACATTATTTTATTGATTTTATTTTAATAGTTTGTTAAAACAGCAAGAATATTTAATTTTAGTTATATATGTAACCACTTCGTAATACATGCTGTTTAAACATAATCTTTTTTTGTGTCTATTAAAATTGCCACATTAATGTATTAATTTCGATAAATTAAAATTTTACTGTGAAATAAAATATTTTAAACATATTTTATAACTTACAACTTAATTAATCATTGAAAAATATAATTAATTGATTATAAAAAAATTTTTTCTAAATGAATATATAATGTATAATAAACGTCAAAGTTAAAATTATTAAAAAAATGATTTTATTTACAAGTAATAGCTAAAACACTTTTAGAAATTTGTATAATTCTAATATCTTAATATTGTATTAAATTTATTAAAAATTTGCAGCATAATTATTATATTCACTATTTAAGTCGTCGAAAGCTAATTAAAAATTTATTTTCGAATTAAGGATTTAGCTTTTATATTGAAAAACATGTTCTAAACATGAAATTAAAAAAAAAATTGAATATCATTTCTACTGAATATTAGTTACTCGTTACACTAATATTACCTAATGTTACTCATATATTCCACAATATAAGTAACATAAAATTTAATTTGTATTGTATTTGAATCAATAAATCCAATAGCTTATGAGCACAAAATGTACATAAAAATATAATCGATTTCTATCAACCATAGATGTAAAAAATTAAATACTCTCTAGATGTGTATTATAATTTACTAATACTTATGAATATAAGAATATTCATTATAAAATGACAATTGAATAATAAAATAGGCAATTAATACTACAACGGTGAAAGCGTTCCTTTTTTAATTTTTTTTTACTATGACTATTTTATTGACTATGTAAATATAATAATTTTTTTTTTAATAATTAAATGATTGAAAGCTAATATTGTAATTATACGCTGTGCTGGCGTATGATAATATCTGTAAATTAAAATAATACATATATTATTTACTTGAAATTTTTGTTTTTCTCTGTCATTTCAAATGTGTATATAATCACTTAATCTTGGAATTTTTATAGAAATCTTGATTAATCATATTTTATTCTTTACATGCAGAATTTGTTGAATTTCATAATTTCACTGGAACAAATGAAGCTTACTCTCATTTAAAGCGATGTCACAATGCTTTCAAATATTTTCAAAATTTTTATATTTTATTAAGTATATAAAATTTTCTGCCACTCGAATAGCTGAATGTCTTACGTGATATAAGCAGCATTTGAAAAAATATCTCGCAATTCTCATATTTTATTTAACGCCATTATCAATCCCTTCTACACTTCTATTGCTCATTTGTAACTGAATACGTTGAAAATGATATTAAACTTTTGATAGTCGACATTCCATTAATTATTACAAATATTAGATCCTTTAGTATAAATAACGAATAGTATATATAATATAAATATAATAAATATAATTTATAAAATATTCTTTCCTTTACAATATCTATATACATTATTCGTATGAAATATAATTGTTGTAGTACGTTGATAATATACGTACGAAGGTAGGAGAAGCAAAGTTTGAAATAAGGTTTTCACCAATGTTTGATTGCACCTCTAATCGCGCCTTTCAACGAACTCTGCGTGGCTCTCTTTCTTCGAAATCTATCAATAAATATAGAAAAATTATCCAGTGTATTATATTATTGCACAATTGGGAGTACATAAAATTTAAAGTAAAAAAATAAAAAAAATTACGAAATTCAACCATTTTTTTTTTTTTTTTTTTTCTACCAAAAGTATAATTATTCCTATTATTTTTATACTAAAACAATATTTGGAAGACATTATATTAATTTTTGTGCAAACGTCAAATGTTTTACGCTTTTTCAATAAAAAACACTTAAATTCATTTATAATTTAAAATTAGTCATTTAATTATTTTTCTGTAATAAGTAGCAATTATGTTCGTAGATTAATTACATTTATATGTACATACAAATAAATATAATAAAAAAAAATTTGTCTCTATCTCGCAGATTATATCTAACGTTGATTTATTTGCAATTATACAGTGATGCTTTTTATAATAATGTAAAGCGTAAAACGTATCAGTAGCATTTATAAAAAAATTACGTGTAATTTAAAGTTAAATATCTTTTTATAAATCGGCACTTATTTTTACCATTAAATGCTAATTGTAATATATTTATTTTGCATTTTTAATTATATTTTTCTTAATTTATTTTTATTATATTTGAAGATTATGAGTTTAGATTATCGATTACAAAAATGGAGTTAATTGCACAAATTACAATTTCATAGTTTTATAATACTATCATTACAAATATATTAACACTGAAATAATTATAAATGTTTTAAAATTAAAATGACTATAGATACATGAAAATCAATAAGTACGTTTTTATATAAATTCAAATTGAATAAACAATATTAATGATCATAATTATTTCATTGAAATGATGAAATTGATGTTTATTAAAGCTCATTTTAGTCGATTTAAAATAAAACTTAAAAGGAGAAAATAAATACGCAAAATTTATAAAATAGAATTAATCTTATTATATGTCAAAAGGGATCATTAAAACTCGTGCTGTTTAAAAGAATAAATTAATCTTAACAGTTTATTGATACATTTATATTTCCGTTACCTGTCACCCAACATTGTACACAATACACAGAAACTTACGTCAAGTCTATTACTTTCCAATTGGATTTACCACTTATCTAATCGGTGCATAAAGCAAATAATCACAAAATATCCTCCATGTATTCCGTTATGCTCTGTTCAATCTTTGCTCATGCATAAATATCGATTAATCGTTCCTTTTAAATGCATATTATCATAGAGTGATGGTACAGAGTCAAAGTAAGGAGATGATAAAATAAAAATTTATATAAATAGAAAAGAAAAGGAAATAGGATATTTAATTGGAAGAAAAAAAAAATGAATCGTAGTGTATTGAGTAAATTTTGAAGAAAAAAAAATATATTTTAATAGATAATTATTATAATATCGAAACAATTACTATATAATAATAAAACATGAAGCTAATGCTAATTTTACTGGTGTCAACACATTAACAAGATAAGAGACAATTGATTATATTTTATGCCTTCCTTTTTTTTTTTTTTTTTTTTTTTTTTTTTTTTTTTTTTTTTTTTTTTTTTTTATTAAGAAATTAAATTCTCTTTCGTACTATAATTATTCATTTTGGATGTGGGTTAGACGTTTAACAAATATTTCGACGTATGTCGCATATATTTATTCAATACTTTCAATCAAAATTTATGCATTAAATCAATGTATTATAAGCCTTATTGATATATTTGAAAAATATAATTTTATTCGCCAACTAGAAATGCAAAACATCACCTACACTGATAAAGTACTCAAACTCGATATAATTTATGAGTTTCAATATCGTATATTCAAACATTACCTCGAATTTACGTTCACGTTTATGAGATTTCTGCATTAGAAGAATATTATTATTCCAATACATTCGCAAGCTCGTGTGCACCAACGTAAACAAGTATACACGTAGCCTTTCAAAGTACGCCGAATTATTTATTAATTTCATTTACACTTGGAATGGAGGCTGCTAATTTGAAAAAAGAAAAACAACGATTAACATAATTGATTGGCATTGGCAGAAAATTCGAAAACACCGCAATGCTCGACAAACATCTTTTATATTTGTAATAATACGACAGGATTATTATCAAGTGGCCACAATCGTTGACCAAACTCTTAATAGTCGAATATTATTTTTAACCAGCGCAAATCTTTGAACTTTAACAACCGATAAATTATAGAATATAATGCGATGTTTATATTTGCAAAGTGCATCGCTGCGCAGGCACGATGATTTTCAACGAATGTTTTCAAAGAGTAACGCCCTCGCTCCACGAGGCGAATTTTTTCGTTACGACGGACCCACTCGACAAATACAATTATTTCGTTCACCGCATAAAAACGCATCTTGATACATCGGAAATTGAAGCATCCGTAAACTTATCTGCGTAAATTTCTCGTGTGCGTGTACGCTTGCGGTGCAGCTTATCTCCCGCTACACATTACCCACGTTTAAAGATAATGTCGAGACTTGCGTAACGCAACAATCGAACGACATAGTTGCGTTCATCTCGAATAGCAATTGCACAATAACATCTATTAGCCAACAATTAAAGATGCATTGCCAATTGAAAATCGTGTTGAATTATTTCACCGGGATAAAAGTTATTAAAAATGTTGTAAAATGCTTGCGATCGTGGCGGCGATCTACCGTCCTTGTCTCTCGGACATTCCCTTCTCTTTGGGGGTCACGTGAGCGAGTCACGCGTATCACGGAAAAGGTCCGAGAGAGAAGTTTTCTCGGCGTGCTTCGCTTTCTCTCCATGGACGTTGAAGGAACAGCTTTGCTTAATATTGCTCCGCAACCAGAGCCGTCAAGATGAGTTATTAGTCGCGAAACGCTTGCACACACAAGTGTGCCATCACAATCAGCGATCATGACGTAAGTATTGCCAATTATTTTACCTAGGCAAGGATTGGTAGAAAAACGACCGAATAATCGGCGGTTCTCGGGTAACGTGTCCGCGAGTCGAGTGCGTCCACCATTTTGCGTGACTCACCCTCGGCTCACCGCTCCTCAGCCCAAGTTTTGATTTGCTTTTCGCTCCCTCCTCGTGAATCTCGTTGTTCCTCGT